ACCACGACTGATCCAAACTTGATACCGAGTCTCCACCAAGAATGGTAAGCTTCGGGCCAAGCCTGAACCAAGTCTGGTCCAGTGGTCAATTCCTATCTGGGTATGCAGATTAGGGGAGCCACCTCCGATTTGAATTATTTTTAAATATGTTGTCAAGGTCATTGTCCCGAGTAATAATGTAAAGGTTTTAGGCGGGGGTCGTTGTTTGGTAAAAAGTTACAAAGGGAAGAAGTTTTATGAATGAATTCTTATTTTTTGGCCCCACGTACATTTCTTTCGTGTTTTAAGCGTGTAGGCAGGGGGAGCTGCGACTCCCCGCAGGGGGAGAGGTTTTACTCCTCCCCCCTGTTCTCCTCGTCAAGAAAAAATGAAGAATTTAGAAAGGGGCGCAGCTCCTCCCTGCCTACGCGCTTCAAACGCGAACAAAATGTACGTGGGATCGAAAAATAAGAATTCATGTACAAAACTTTTCATGTGAACTTTTTAGGACACAACAGTACCAAAGCGTATAAACAAACGCTAACATGTGCACAAACACACTAACAAACACACGTACAAACGCAGAACACATATTGATACATAGAATGTCGAGAAATTGCATATTGTGTGTGTGTTCAGTAGACTTCTTTCCTCTGTAACTTTTTACCAAACAACGACTCTTGCCTAAAACCTTCACATTATTACTGGGGAAAATGACCTTGACAACATATGTAAAAATACTTCAAATCGGAGGTGGCTTCCCTAATTTGCATAATTACCGAAAAAAATTTTATTTTTCTTCGAGGAAAAAAAATCTTACTACTTTCCCCGAAGAAAAATAACCTAATTTTAGTTAAGTGTTTCTTAGCATTGGTTTAAGTTAGATCTAGTTGGGAGGAGCAGTTCTCCGCTGCCTACACGTGTTATACGAACAACATATATGTATTTGCCTCAGAAATCGACGGTGTTGAAAAACAAAGAAATTATTTGTGAAACTTTTTTTGGAAAATAAAGAAATAGAAAAAACGGTCTGTATCGAGCAAAACAAAAGATCGTATTATTTATTACTTGGATGATAAACATATAGTTATAAATATAAATA